CTACGTGGAGCAGCCCCCACTATGCCAAGACAGCGTGATCCAAGAGAAATCGTTACACCTGTGACATCTTGTCTCGAGTGTGGCGCGCCGCTAGCCCACGCACACACAGTCTCTGGTCGGCTATACGGTCTTGGTGGTGTAGAGGAAGTCTCTATGGTCATCAAACGCTGTTCCAAGAAGACCTGTCGCGTACACCATCACTACAACTACAGGAAAGTGGAAGGTCAGAAGTACCACAGCCTGGACCTGGACCAGATGGAATACATCTTTGTGAACAGCAAAGTTGGTTTCAGCCGGCAATTCCTCGACTACCACAATGCCTTGCAGTTCCGCGGTGGTCTGAGTCACAATGCCATCATGTTCGCACAAGGCGAGGTAATGTGGGAAGACCGCGATCAGCACGCCCGATGGCACATGGAGTATGCCAATGCACAACTCTACTATCAGGTCCTGAAGGAGGCTACCCAGATGTGGACAACCCCACCATGTCGCAAGCAATTGTTCAGCATCCGTGTTGAGCAGCCTTTGGAGAATGAGTTCCTTGATTTCTATCGTGATTGGTGGCATCGCAAGCAGTTCTCCTTGGCAGATTGGCGTGCCGTGAAGGAGGTCGTCATCGATGGCCACGAAAAGGTCTCGGCGAAGTGCCAAGGGCCTCCTCCTGCACATGTGGGACGCCCTCGAAAGAATGGGGCCAACAAGCAGCGCCACAATGGCTGGTTCATGGCTATGGATCCCCGTAGTGGCATGGTCATGTCGGTGGCTGACATGGAAGAGCCAGAGAACAACGTGGTCGCCAAGAATGTCTTGCGGAAGGTTGTCACAAAGGCTGTCAACCTCAACTGCGTCATTTACGACAAGATGTGTGTGTGCCTAAAATCCTTTGCGACGGACAAGGATTTCAAGCAGGTGAAGTACTGGTCCATTGACCGTTTCCATGCAAAGGCTCACTCCGTTTCCTGCCCTTGCTCGCCCATTCATGTCCGTCGACTTGATCTACGTCTCCGCTCTGTTAACTCCTCCATAGCCGAGCAGACATTTTCATGGTTTCGCGGCTATGCTTGCAGCTTTAACACGAAGGCACATGACACGCACATCTTCTATGTGCTCCTGTATGTCAAGATGCACAACAGCCTCGTGCGTCAGAACAGACTTCAGCATCTCAACGCATTCAGTGCTCGTTCGAAGATCGCAAAGGCCGCCCGTGTCCTCCGCAAGCCTGCCAGCAAGAAGTATCATTGCCGTCGTCCCGCTTCGTCCGTCAACCTCATCAAGCCGGTCCACAAGAAGCCCGCAAACAAAGTCAGGAAGAACAACCTGAAGAG